AAAATTATGCTTTTAGAAAAGTTGTCGAAAACTCAAAAATCTGGAATATAGACCTCAACGACTTATTTAATCCGAAAAACACATTGTGCTTCTGATTCCGGAGCAAAATTTTAGAAATATTTGGTTTACAAATTAAATGTTATAAAAATCCAAAGAATTGTAATATTTCAGTTGGCAGTTTTGGAAAAAAGGTAGGAATTTTTGGAGCCATAAAGCTAAAAAGATGTTCTGGATGTCAAAATTTACCAAAAATTTCATGAAGGAGAAAACGTATGTGAAAATTGTACTTTTGGAAAAGTTGTCGAGAACTTTAAAAAATCAGGTTTATAGACCTCAACGAGTTAATTCGAAAAATACAGAGAAATATTTGGTTTGAAAATAAGATTTTTTAAAAATCCAAAAAATTATAAAATATCATTTCGTGATTTTCGAAGACATAAATAGATTCTGGTGATCCAAATCTAAAAAAAATTTTTCTCTAAGTCATTTTCAAAACTGCTGGAAAAAAACTCAAAAATTTCATGCAAGGGTTGTATTGGAAAATTTAACTTTCGGAAAAGTTGCCTCAAGATCCACAAAGAATTTTGGTATATTATAAATTTCGACTAGTTTATTCGAAAAACTTAAAGAGTGTTTATCATCATGGAGCAAAATTTTCGAAATATTCAGTTTGATAGTTATTTTTCTTTAAATTGTAAAAATTGACACATCATTTTGGATAAATGGTAGGAATTCTCAGGGAAATGAATCCGAAAATAACTTCTGGAGGTCGAAATCTACTAAAAATTAGAATACTCTTTAAGCAATTTCTCAAAAGTGTTAAAATTTGCATAAAGGGGGGGGGGGGTATTGAAAAATTGAGCTTTCGTAAAAATTGTCTAAAAATCCAAAAAAAATCTGAGATATAGATCCTGACGAGTTAATACGAAAAACATGGCATACTTATGATCCCGAACAAGATTTTTGAAATATATATTAAAAATGTTAGAAATATTCGAAAAAATAAAGCCGAGCTGATCGAAATATTCGGTTTGATAATGAATTGTTTTTTAGATTCTACAAATCGTCACATTTTATTTAAGATTCTGAAAAAGTGGTAAGAATTTTAGAAAAAATGGAGCAGAAAATAACATCTGGAAATCGAATACAAAAAAATATGTGTAGGCAATTTTTTAAGATACTCAAAAAAGGTCAAAAATTTCATAAGAGGATAGTATTGAAAAATTAAGCCTTTGGAAAAGTTCCCCAAAAGCCCACACAAAATTCCAGGCCAAAATTTTTGACATATAATGTTTTTTAATTCAACAAATTGCCATATGTCACTTGACGATTTTGGAAAATGGTAGAAATCTTGAAAGACAAAAAGTTAAAAATAACTTTTAGAGGCCGAAGTCTCAAAACAATCTCTTTGGGTAATTTTTTAAGGTGCTCGAAAAAAGGTCTAAAGAGAAAACTTGAAGCAATCTGAAGCCAGGTATATGAATTAGGTTCCAAAATCTGAACATATGCAAGTGATTAATAGGTGGTAGGACACGCCTCTGTAAACCACTCCATTATTAATTAGTGACTTGAAATTGTATTTTTGCCACGTCACCTTAGAAAATGTGGGCTACTAGATACCTAGGTACTGAGAGGATTCTCAGGTGGGACGATCAGTTTCTTCACAATTATATGTCGCTGACGTCTTCCTAAAGACTTATTCACCTTGCCAAAAGCGTATTTTTTTTTATTGAAAAAAAGTAATTCAAAAAATACTTGAGTCAGACACTCTAATACGTCATCACTTATCATACTTACTCTAAACCTGAGAAAACGCCAACACAGACGGCGATCTTTTCAAGCGTGAATGACTTTCGAAAATTATTTTTGTCTTGGAGGTGTAATAAGGAGTTGTTGTGTCTGGTGTTGAATGCGACACCTACAAGAGTCTCCGATGTGACTCATTTGCACGTAAAATTTCTTTTACACGAGACGGTGTCGGATTGCAGTTGCCGGTAAAGTTTAATTTTACGCTGTTCAAGGAAATAATGGCTTTCGAAGCACGTGCATTTTTTATTAGGTTTATTACGGACGCCGGAAATAGAATAAAAAACGAAAAAGGTGGATATAATGTTACGGGACACTAACAAGCAAACTCCTGGGAAGGTGCTTCCATGAAGCATAAAATTAGGCCTCACATGTAGACGAACTGATCCTTCGCTGAGTACGCGTCATAATTCGGCTTGTCCACGGATAATTAACAAACAAAATGCATTTTACCCAACTCTCTCGAGGTTCGCACTCTATTATTAAAGAAAAAGCTGGGTCGAATTCCCGGACGAAAAAAGCTCGGGCGCTTTTAAAATGCGGGTGGCCCAATTTTCGTAATTATAACCCTTAATCAATTTTCGTTGTGGTTCGGACGGGTTTGCGGCTCGTATTCTTTCATCGAAGTGTGGCTAGATTTGATGGGTAGGTATCGATAGCTGATGATTTATTGATGAGAAAATAGTGAGTTACTTATGTGGTTCACTTACGTGTCTTTTTATAATGATACATTTTTTCATTTATTGATCTCGATTAGTACACATCAGGGCTTACGTAGCGTGAATGCTTAAATGAAGAAAAAGTCTACGATTACATTCGTGTTTGTTCGCTCGTGAATTATTTAAAGAACTACGGAAAAGAATACGTACACCGGATGAGTTTTCTCAGTAGTATGAAAATCAAACAGGAAAGCACACAAAAAATGTAGGGAGACTCATGTTTGGCGGAAACAGCGATTGCAGGAAGTTGTTTTATAAAATACCATGAATGTATTATGGAGGTAGTTATAAATTGTTGTTTGCTTCGGGTAATGTTGGTAATTTTTGCTAAAAGCAAACCGTCGCCTGATTGCTACCTTGATACTGTTTTTTATTTTTCGTTGTTATTTCAAGGAAATAAATACTTCATTATTCAATAAAATCCAACTTATAATTCATACATAGCAGATTATTTTTTCTTCGAACCAATACCTAGAATACAAATTTAAATTAATTTTGACGTTTTAGTGACAGTTTTACAGCAGTTCCATTTCAGCAGTTGATAATAAAAATTGCCTCGATATTTCTATTTCTAAAAAAGTTCCAATCATTCCCACCACCAATTTGATGACGTCACCTCAAAATTTTGCATGGTAAAAATGCTACTTAAATTTAGCATCTTCTACGATCTCTGGATGCACGATAATACTAAAACGTTTATTATCCTCTTGTAAAAGACTTTATTTTTTAAGATGTCAAAATATAATAATTCCCTTTAAAATTGTTTTCTTTTCCATAACGTTGGAAACAGCTAAATCAACTGTTCAATATTGTTTGACACTAAATATCTCACACTTCTATAACTCCGAAAATACAAAATTACAAAAGTTGTCGACGATAGATTAGTATTGTCTAGATGATGCCAATGTGGTTGGTGAAACGCGTGTAATTTTCTGAAGAACTGAAGAAAACCTTTTGCAACATTTCAACCCTTCAGTTCGCAGTGTTACCTGCACTACTACAACCACAGAATCGTCTTAACCAATTCCATCACCCCGAAATGATATCTGAAAATGAAAATACCGCATACTTCGCACACAATACACCATTGTTCTAATAAGCTCCTAGCGTAAATTCGTTAACAGGGCAGCTTGTAATGCCATCTGCTACTGCAAACTCAGGTTTCCTCGCATTGTCCGCGCCGAGTCTTCTCCGACATGTGTGGTTGATATGGGAAGACGGAAATGTGCAGAGGCTCTCTCGAGCGATAGCGTGCAGAGCTCCATTCAAGCATACCCGTTCGCTTGTAAAGAATATTTTCAACATAATTTATAGACCGGTTATTACAAGCACACTGCATTGATGTCATCTCGAATCTGTGTAAACTTACAACTACAATAGTTATTGTGTACCGAGTGCGTTGTTGTTTATGCATGATATGGTGGAGGTAAATCTAAGGGATCGACTGTGGTAATTGCGGCCTTCGCCGGAGGAAGTCGAGGCTTAGTTCAGGACGAGGTTCGCACGATCCGGCTGGGGACAGAAATGTGAAGATCTACTCTAATTGGGCCTTGTGGTGAATATTAATACACGTATTGATGGCGGTTTTCTAGAATACACAAACTATATTTACAGGGTGATCGATAAAATTGCTACCCTTGTGTGCGTAGATCTAAATTTAACGAACGAGACACGAAGAGGCTCTCTGGGTATATTTAAAGACAAAAACACATACGTAGAGTGTCTTCTGGGTACAGTTTGTTACAATGAGTAGAATGAATGAAGCGAAATATGAGAAATGAAACAAGGACGTAGTCTTTTCGTAAGACTTCCTAGTCTTAAAGCTCTGTTTTGTTGACCAGTAATAAAATAATGAAAATATTTATAAATATACTTAATATAAATTAGATATTGGCTTTAGCGCAGGCTGTTCATGCGACTTTCACGTGATCACTGCATCAGTAATTATAGTGCTCGTATAATTACAAGCAAACTTGAGTAATAGAAAATTGCACTGATGTGTCCTGACCACGATCAATAATTAACAAAACCGTATCTTTATAAATAAAACCGCCACGTCTACGTCCACGTAAGTCCACACACCGTCTAAATCACCCATCAATAAATCACCTATCGATAACTATCAAATCCGCGAACACTCAATCAAAAAATTCTATAGAAACCCGAAACCCGTCTGAACTCTTTCAAGACCGCATCGAAAATTGAATAAACACTATAATTACAAAAATTGGGTCCACCCACAATTTAAAGTACTCAGGCTATTTTTCAGCCGCCTCTCCCCGTAATTACCGAACCCAACTTTTCGGTAATGTCGATCCACCGGAGCTTTCGTGTCCGACACGAAAATTGTGTCTTCTCCAATTACGAAGCCCGAGACGTTGATATCAATAAAGAATGAGCTTCTGGGTGCGCACGTGACATCGACAGTGGATCGCGTGTTCTTCGTCACTACATATTTCATAATCTGATACCAACCTTGATTAGTGCGGGCTATGTTGAGGAAAAATGCCAATATGAGGAGCGACAGGCCATAGCGGGGGGCTTCCATGGTAACAGTTCCGCTCTAAGGGCTGCTGCACACAGACATCACTGGCACCACGGCGAGTCTTCGTCTGTCACATCGCTTCTGACACTTGGCTTATTGGGTGCCAGATAGCTGGAACAAAAAGTGCCATGGAGTGGAGAAGACGCTTGTTTGCTTCCTACACGGTGTAAGGGATGGTTCGGATAAATCTGTTTAAAGGGATGGACTGCGACTGGATGATTGATGGGTAGAGAGGAATAAAAAAAGCTGGGTGGGAATTCGAAAAATGGGATAGCCTCAGACAGGGCAGAACTGAATTATTTATTCGCGAGGGGAGGAAGGGTTAGTCTGAGTTTCAGAGGTGGTGCGGAGTTTAACGGTGGGGTAACTAATGGATAGATCGTGGTCATCAAATACTCGTATGTGGATATTTTACAAACTCGCGGAAGACGGAGGTAAAGATTCCGCAACTAGTGGAAAGACAAGTCGGTCGATCAATAAACATTAGTTAGTAAATATATTGGTGATTTAATATCTACATTTTCTGTTTGCAAAAATTATCTCAGCATATTATAATTAACAATAGAGGGTTTTAATAATCGTGTTTATGCAACCCAAAATGCATACCTACTTACAAGATACTTCACGAGCTATTCATTTGAACTTTTTTTTTAAGTCAAAGTTATCCGATTTTTAGAACCATCAACTTGATTAGTGATAACGCAGATATTAAAAAAATATTCAAAGGAAAAACTCGCCAAGTATTCTGTGAGAATGTATTCTGGACAGCATTAATACATTATATTAAATCTGACGCTATTCGTGAATCAGCCTGTATAAGTAAATGCTGTCCTGGAAAAACATAATTTGACTTCAAATATTATTGAATTTACAGGTGATAATTGCAATACAAATTTTGTGGGTTCAAAGACAACTGCCAAAAACAATATATGGCTCATGCATTAAACTGTGTAGAAAGTAATACTGGCACTCTTTCAATTGATAATGCGTCACCCGTGTTAAAATATGCAATCTTTAAAAAAATTGTATTTACAGGAACAGAATACATAAAACTCTTTGGGAATTTTGGAAAATCATCTTCGTTTATGATAAATGTCATGGTTGCATTGACATATGGATTACCTTTTTACAAGATTTTTAGACTATTAAACTGGATGAATTTAAAATATGTTAGGAAATTATTTAAAATTTTTAAAAGTTTTAGAAAATAATAATCCGCCCATGAATAGTCAATGAATTGGTGACACGAATAGACTAAATAAGTCTTAAAACTATCCTAGAACTCTTATAATTTTAAACACTTTTAATGACAAAAATTTTATTTATAACTATTACGACAAAAAATCTTTTGCATCAGATTAGCAATTCTCAAAATTCTGAACCTGGCTGCAAAAGCAGCACAAAAATCTAAATAGTGGGTGTTTTTTTTTTTTTTAAATCTTTTTAATTTTCTGGATTCTTACTTCCCTATCGTGAAGCTAAGGAAGTATTGTAATGGGGTCTGTCCGGTGAATGGTTATTGTCATGTTTTCTCGACAAAGAATGAAACAATAAGTCCCCGTTGTTGTATATTTATTTGCCAATTTGCCGTCTGTGCCGATTTTATTAGACACATAATCTCCGAAACTACGGACCCGATTGTTGTCAAATTTTAAATGTATATTGCGAATATCGTGTAGAATCACCTACACATCTATAAACTAATTACTAGAGAGAGGAAAATATGCAGCGAAATTTTGGGAAATATGATCATATGATATGCATCAAATTTATGCAAATATGCAGTAACTTTCTTAATATATGCTGCGATATGCAGTTGCATATGCTCCAAAAATAAAAAAAGCCGAACTAAATTTATTTATAAATTACAAAAACAGGTTTCCCGAGCTTAACTTTTATTACAAAAACTATATAAATCACATTTTTAAAAATAATATTCTTATACTAAACAATATAATCAGAACAAATAGAAAAATTATAGTAATCGACTATTTAGTTACTATTTTGGTAAAAATTTATTTTTAAATATTTTTCGAAATATTCTAACAAAAAATTTTTCCGGTGATTCTAAAGTATGTATTAGAAAAACGGCGTACTACGTCCATAGATGTAAAAATCCTTACCGGTTTAGAGCAGGCGCGACAAAACAGAGTTCCTTTTTGAAGAATAAGTTCAGGAAAAGTTTTAATCCACAAATTAATTTGAGTTACCTTCGACATATTGACACTAATCGCTTTCAATGCAAACTCACTATGACAAATCATAGGATAAAGTCCGTTCGACCACCATAATATATATATACTTAAGTAACGAACAAAAATATGGGAATGAACGGTACTTCCAAAAGTAATTAGGACCCGAATTTAGCTGGAAGTATGGCTTAACACCCAGTGGTTCCTCCAAATTACTATAAAACCCAAACCTTTACTAGTTATTTGAAGCTCAGGACAATATTTGCAATATGATTAATGAAATTTCGGCTTTCTAGATAAATGCCGATAGAATGACAATCTTTTTTTTTTCAAATTGGCACAAAAATTGATAAAAATGCAGAATATGCACCAGTTGCGTGAAATATGCAGCAGAACGCAAATATATGCAAATATGCATTTTTTTTATAGCTGTATTCATTTTTAATTAGCATGATTCGTTCACATATTAAATATCAAGACTTATATACAAAAAATAACGGATATGCAAATTTCATAAAATCCGCTCTCTACTAATTACATTTTGTCTCCTTATCAACAATCTGACCTCAATATTTTGCGTAGAAAATGGTATTTAAATTTTATAAAGTAGCATACTCCTGTGTTTGTGGTTTATGAATTCACCTTCATTTATTATCACAATTGCTTTCCAAAAATAGTTGTGGCTTACGAACAGAATAAGTAGATCGTGCTAGTTAAAGTTTTGAACCTGAGTTCTACCTGCGTGGGTTCGAGTCCCATCTTCATCGATATTTTTTTTCTATAAAACACTGAATTTGTTCGAAAGTTTCGACTTCAGATACGATGGAAGTTCAATGTGTGTAACTAACTTTATACCAATTTTTTGTTATATCGAGAGAGGGAAATGCGTGAAAACTAACATTCTCTCCCGAGGCCTATATACACGGTGAGTCACTAAACGTGCGATCTTTAATATTTCATTAATTATTATTAGAGACAAAAAAAGTCAAAGATTAAAGTTGTGCGGTTCTAGACTCTAAAATTATTTTTAACTACACAGGATTTTGGATTTTTAAATTAAACACCCTATATATTTCTACATATGCTCATTAGCCTCTTCCTAGGCTTTATAACTCTAATTATTTCTGAAATTTCGAAGCAACGTTGTCATATTATTTCTGAAATTTCGAAGCAACGTTGTCATCTTATTTCAATTTTCTTGAAATTTTTTGACAATGGAAGGGTTCATAAAAAATCGCAATAGGTTATTTTTACACTCTCTGTTGCAATATTTGGTGGGAGTAAAGAAAGGTCAGCGCTTTGTTGTGGTCTCTATTAAAAAAATTTAAGAAATGTTCATTTAAAAAGATCTAAAACTTTGCAAGTCGCAAATATAGGTATTCCAGTTTTTTCAAATAGAACACCCTGTATTTTATTACTCAGTCTTACTCTCTATTTTGTTGGCATTTTTCTAATATTGCGAAGTGTCTATTAAAAAATTTAAAAATCGTAATTACTATCAACTTTAAATTTAGAAAATACCTAAAAACACAGAAAGAGAAAAAAATATATATAGTCGAAGGTTATTTCGACAGACCTTTCCATGCCCTCGAAGTGTAATCCGATAAATTCAGTTTCTTAAAAAAATTATAAAATTTGATTTTACGATTTTCGTTTTGAAATAACCTCTGAAAAATAAAAACCAACGGCAGTGCAAAATATATTTAAAGGACTTAACTAACGGGATAAAATGTCTTTCAGCACTAGGTAATAGCAATCTGAAGCTCAAGTGTTTATTTATGTAGAAATTCGTTTGATTTGAATGAGTTTGTCTTCTCAAAAGAGGAAACTAACTAATTATTAATCAAACTACAATCGAACAAAATGTTCTGAATATTGTAGGAGTAAAGACGTGGGTATTCTCACATTTTCGAGAAGATGGGGTGAGTCGTCCTTAATTTGACCAATAAAAAAATTGTTGTGACATCTAAACATAAATAATACACAATACGAGAGAAAAAGAGAAAAAGAAAGGGAAAAAACAAAAGACCAAGTTTGGAATCGAACGCGTGACGTCCGGTCCGCATTCCTCAGTTTTAACCACTACACCAAGACCTGCTGAGATGCTTTACGCTCATGGTAAACTACTTATTACACCATGTTTATTTATAGGAGTATATTGTTGTATTAAAGTAAAATCAAGTAAACAAGATTTCTTTAAAATGACGTCATCAAATTGTTGGTGAGGATGATTAGCAAAATTTTGGTTAGTATTTAACCATCTAGATGATATTTCTTATGTACATACAAAATTTGACAACAAGCGGTCCAGCAGTTTCGGAAAATACATGTCTAATAAAAATGGATACAGACACCAGACAGACAGACAGACAGACGCAAACGAGAGACTACTTTTTTCGTACTCTAGGGGTCATGAAACATCGAGAAAAAATGAAAGCGGCCATTCTTCCGAAGGACTTGATTACTATACTTCCTTAGCTTACGGTCGGGAAGTAAAAAATAAGATGGAGTATTAAAATACAGGGTGTTTTATTTGAAAAAACTGAAATGTTGATAGGTATGTTTGAAAATTCTAACATTTTCTTTTTTATTTATTTGAAAAAAGTGAAATATTGGTATTTGAAAATTGTAATAATATTTTTTTACGAACACTGCATATGATTTTTAATTATTTATACTACAACAAAACGCGTGTCTTTATTTATCTCTCCACACAATAGTGTAGCACAAATTCCAAAAATAACACCATGGAAATTCTTTGTGAATCCTTCCATTGTTAAAAAACTGTGGTTATTAAGCCTAAGAAGAGGTTAATCAAAATATGTAATAATATACAGGGTGTTTTGTTAAAAAAGTTGTTGTTACGCCTTAAAAACAGAACATTCTGCATATAGTTAAAAATAAAATGTCCAAAGGTAT